CAGAGCGGCGGGGGAGGGTGGGGGGTGGGGGGGCAGCAGGCCCCAGGGGAGCTGATGGAGCAAGGGGAGGAGACGTGGCAGCAGAGGGAAAAGGTAGAGGTTTATATGATATTTATTAATAACTTGGGTGATATTTATTAATAACTTATTTGTAATTACTGTTCTTATTCTTATTAGGAATTTATGCCACTAAAAAACACTTTTTGGGGGGGATGGGGAGTCCCTTTTTTGTCTGGTGAGTAGGGTTTTCCATAATTTGTCGAGCCTTGATTATCATGTTATGACGTGACTTGTGTGCGAGTATTCTCGCTCGCTCTCTAGGTCTGTGCTATGCGCTACTCTGCCGATTTGCCGCTTGGATACGTGTATCAGTACATAGTTGCGTACTGCCCGGCTGGTAGACATGCTCACACTACGTAAGGGTGTCTACCAGCTAGGCACTACGCAACTACGCAGTCGTGCTGAATATTTTCCTTTTATAAATGTACGATTTGTGACACTGCTATCCTTCATCTACCTTTCATCTTTCCTGTATCTTGCAGCGCTCTTTTAAGGTAAGGAATATTTTTCCAGCAAAGAACCTGCTGCACCAAATTTATTAAAACAGGCTCAATCGTCAGTTTCAATTCCTGTGTCAAATGCTGGTGCGGAAAGAATTTTTAGTGTCATGGGTAATCTACGGACTGACGAATGCAACAGATTGAGTGTTGAGTCAGCAAGAAGTCAACTTTGTGGTTTTTTAAATATACCTTTCACTTGTTTGGAAGCAAAAGATGAGTTTTTGAAAAATAAACAAATTGATAAAAACTGCACAATCTAACATAAAATATAATGTCAATTATATAATGTTGATTATAAAATGTAAGGTAGATTGTCGTCAATAAACTTCGCATATCATGTATATTTTTTTTTTGGACGACAAATTTTTATCAAGTGTGCAATAAACTCCGCATATCATATATATTTTTTTTGGACGACAAATTTTTATCAAGTGTGCCCGGTATTTTTGTTGAAACCATCTGGCAACTCTATATACTTTTATTTGAAGGTTTAAAATTAGTATTGTAAAATAAGTAAAAGAGTGTGGTAATTGTTGTTGTTTTTTTAAATTGGAACTTAATGTCCTTGTTCGAAGCTGCTTAGTGCTCAGTGACAAATGCTGCTTCTCCGTAACAAAGAAATCAACCTTGTGTGGTGAAAGAGGGTCAGATATGTACTAAAATTATGCGTAAAGGCCACCGAACCAAATGCTCTAGAAAGAAGCCGAAGGCAGATTTAACGGTGCCAAAACTTGCTGCACGTCCCTGTCGAGAAGTAAGCAGCAGGCAAATGAACGGCTCTGAAAAACGTAACGGCGCCAAAACTTGCTGCACGTCCCTGACGAGAAGTAAGCAGCAGGCAAATGAACGGCTCTGAAAAAAGGCAAGCATTTATTAACTGAAACAAAATAGCTGGAATCAAACCCAGCTTAGCATGGCAGAACGAAAAAAAGAGAGCAAAAAAATCCCAACCACAAATAACAAACATGCGTCAAAAACCAGCACAACGATGCGTCAAAAACCAGCATAACGATGCAAAACTTACTAATCCCAATGAAAAAAAAACACCCTACTATAAAAAAGGACTTGTTTTGCCATAAAACTTTGGGAGCGTCCTGCCAAAACTGGACGGATAGACCCTCAGCTCGTCTGCCCGTGATAAATCCAGTTGGCCACAGACCGGTAAGTATAACATCAATTGGCGGGACAGTGTGTGTGTGTGTGTGTCTGTCTACGTCAGCATGTGCTAACTGCTTTGCCGTTGTGTTCTCAGTAAACGCGGCCTGTTGCCTTTTTCCCCATAAAGATCCCGTGTGCTTCTGATCAGCATATTTTTTGGTGGAGATTGGCAAAAATCACTGGAAAGACACCCAACGATTTTCGTGGGCTTGGATGAGGTCCACAGAGGATTACACGGCATGACTTGGGGGCTGCCCGCTGGCTTTGCTAGGGCAACTACTGGCCTAAAAGTGAAATGTGGGTGTAATGAGGGCACCCATATAATTAGCCCCTTGTTGGGTGCAGTTACCCCTTCAGGAACACAAGGCAATGCAGGACAGACTCCAGTGGAGGGAGCAGTCTGACAGGCGGTCCAGTGTAAAAAGGTGATGAGCAAAAAGCCTGGGCCTACACATGATCTTAGCTAGTGTCTTTGTCAATACTCTCAGGGTATGTCTACATTACATGCCTCTGCCGACAGAGGCATGTAAAATAGGCTACCCGACATAGGCTATGTCTAGACTGCAGGCTTCTTTCGAAAGAGGCTCTTTCGAAAGCATCTTTCGAAAGAGCCTCTTTCGAAAGATCGCGTCTAGACTGCAGGCGGATCTTTCGAAAGAGAAATCCGCTTTTTCGAAAGAGAGCACCCAGCGAGTCTGGATGCTCTCTTTCGAAGACGGCCTCTTTACATTGAAGAACGCCTTCTTTCGAAAGAGGAACTTTCGAAAGAAGGCGTTCTTCCTCGTGAAATGAGGTTTACCGCCATCGAAAGAAAAGCCGCGTTCTTTCGAAATAATTTCGAAAGAACGCGGCTTGAGTCTGGACGCAGGGGAAGTTTTTTCGGGAAAAGGCTACTTTTCCCGAAAAAACCCCTGAGTCTGGACACGGCCTATGTGTTCAGGCAGGGAGACACAGCAGGTCTGCCTGCAGCTGAAAGGGAACACCAGAGCAGGGCCGGCCCTACCATGAGGCGAACTGAGGCACCTCAGGTGCCAGACTGGAGGCGGGGGAGGGGCACCACTAGCACCCAGAGTGTAGAAAATTGTGTCTGCTGCTGGAGCATATGTATTCTCTCTGCTCTAGATGCACAGAGATGGT